TACCAGTCCTACTTCCGCACTATTGAGGAGCTCCAGCAGAAGGTGAGGAGTGGCTACCACGCTGCCAGTTTGGTGATCTGTTTCTCCCAGTTTAGTTTACCAACTTCTGAATGCATCTAAGGCATTCATAGTGAATGTTGAGAATGATGAAAGTATCAAATTCATGGCTTACAAAGGACATCAACAAGTCTTAGAAAATATATTTTGGAACCACAAGGGAAGGGTACAGGCTGGGGACTGAGTGAGGCATTAGACTAAAATCAGTCAGTTGTCTTTTGTTGTTTCTTACCCCAGATCAGAATATCAGTTCAATGATGATATTCCGGTTTTGTTTTCAGAGCATTATGACACTTTGAAAACATGGTATGTACCTGAATTATTTCTCTGTGCTAGGGATTTCCTGAAAGAATCTTCACATGCTTAAAGCCTTTCAACGCTGTAGCAAAAGACAGTGTCTATGGCTAGGAAACAGAGCCACTGACTCCAGAAATTAATTAGCATGTACAGACAACTGCCATCCTCTAGAGCAGGTGTGGACACAGAGGACAGTACAGGGCCATACAAGCAGGACAGTCTGGGTGTAGGTAAAGAGTCCACATAGGGGTGGGACTTCATTGAAATGTCACTGGAAAAATGTAAACAGCATGGATCACACCGGAGTCCTGTTATGTAAAGGGGAATCCAAGGTAGAAGGAGAGGCTCTGTACACAAGAATGGGCAAGGGCAATATGAGGGTAGTTTGTGCTGGTTTGCCTGGGACTGTCCTGGTTTTAGCATCCCAGGAACCCTTTCAGGCCTAAGCAAACTGAGACAGCTGGTCACTCTACTTTGACCTGTAGCTACCCAGTAAGCTCAGTTCCTGATGGAAGCCGGAGGCTGACCAAGAAAAGTAGTGGTCATGACAAAGGGCACATTTCACCTTGACTGTTCTGGTTTTGCAATGATCAGTTCTGTGAATGAATCCTTTTATCTCCAAACTGAAAATTTGAAAGGACTCAAAGCTATTTGAAAGGATTATGCCTGCAAGAAAACAACTTTTCGTTTGACAGCATAAGGCATTCCTTCTCAGGACAACTCATTTCCCAACTCACCCTGTTTGCAGATCCTGTGTAGCAAGTCTGAGGACGCCAGGTTGTTGGTCCAGATTGACAATGCCAAGCTGGCCGCTGATGACTTCAGGACCAAGTAAGGTGTTTCTGATGATTGGAGACAGATTGAACTGTGAAGTGATAAACTTCCTATCCCAGGAGTGTGCAAGGAGATCCTTCTGGGCGATACTGGAGGGCTCCTGTACTGAGTTAGAGTTAGGTTAAATGTCAGTGTCTCCTGACGGGGTGCCAGGATTCTGTGCTTGAAGTTTGGTGGTAAAAAACCACCTAGTCTTTCTCCTTTTCAACTTAATGTATGGACCAAGTTTAAAAGTAAATTTCATACTGGTTTCTTAGTCTACATCAGCTACTATCAGCCCATGAAAACAAGTGATTAAAACACAAAAGTATCAGGCAACACTGTTTACTTTCAGAGAAGCAATGAATAGTATTTTTAGGTATGACTATTAAAGTCCTGATAATGCTTTGCATTTTTATGAGACTTGACCATTTACAGTATAAGTTTACCTATTTCATTTCTTCATCTTCAGCCTAACCCTGTGAAGTGTTAGCTTGTCTTCATTTTACAGATGAGGAGACGGAGGCTCAGAGAGATTAAGGAATCTGCCCACAGGCAGTTAGTGGCAAGGCCGGATCTAAACGACACTGACTTTTGCCCATCTCAGTGTGGTTGGAGATAATCTGTAGCAGGCTTACCAGGTGTGCCAAATAAAGACAGCACACATGGCAAGGCTCGGTTGATAGCAGCATAAGAAAGGAGTCTTAGAACAAAAGTAGTTAGTGTTGGATGAAACTATACACAGGCATCTCACCAATACTTTTTTGTGGGTCTTGGAGAAAAAGTAGGCCTTCTCATTTGGCAGAGTGGTATATAATTTTTTGCTTTTAAAACACCTTTTCAAAAATTTAAAACCTTCAAAATATAATGAATTTGACTACAGGTCAGTCAAGCAAAGCCCAGGAAACAGTCTTCTCCTTTCACCGCCTTCTTCTTTTGACCTCTGGCTGTGTGTGCAGGTATCAGACAGAGCTGTCCCTGAGGCAGCTGGTGGAATCTGACATCAACAGCCTTCGCAGGATCCTGGATGAGCTGACCCTGTGCAGGTCTGATCTGGAGGCCCAGGTGGAGTCCCTGAGGGAGGAGCTGCTCTGCCTCAAGCAGAACCACGAGCAGGTGAGAAGGTTCCATCCCCAACACCCCAGTGCTGAGGGCTCCACGACTCCCTGAGTAGGGAGGGTAAGCACCTGCTCTCCAGCTCCCTATGGCTCACACAACCTTTTGCTGGTTACTCAAAACATACTTTGGGGCTTGCTGGGGGAATGAGTTACAGCTCACCTCTTTTGCACAAGGGAATGTGGTCAACTGAGCTATTTCCAGGTGGGGCTGGGTATGCATGGCTAAGAGGCCACATGAAGATCTTTAAAATATGTTTTGCTGCTTGATAAGATCTACTATCTTCACCAAGACTAGGAGAAGAGAGCAAACATCTGTGTACTCTGTTTCATCTAGATAACTAGAGCCCAAGCTGGATAAATGTGAGTTAGGTGGGTGGACTGATGGATGGATGGATGAATGGATGGACAGATGGAGAAATGAAAGAATTCAAATAATGAATGGTTGAATCAGATCTTGTGGTTGAGTATAATACTAGAAAATTGGATATGTGTTGCAAACATTAGTTGTTTTCAGGAGGAGGAAACAACCTCTAATAGTCAGTGTCTGAAGGCAGGAGATGTGAAATGAATGGGGAGTTAAATGTGGCTTCTCTATAGTTAAGTAGCTGCGATTACAAACCAATTATCACGCCAAGCTTATCAGTGAACAAATGGGAAATCAGAAAGAAATGATAGAATCCTAGTCAAGCAGCTCATTATGCAGAGGAGGGCAGAGACCCAGAGGGGGGCCTGAACCTCCAGGGGTGACTTCAACTGGTTTTCCACTCCTGTTTTCTAAATTCCAATGCGATCCTCTTTCTTCCCTCTTCATTGTAATCTCACAAAAAAGTTACTCATAGACTTTTTTTCTGTGGGTCATCTTTTCCCTGTTCTCCCTCAGGAAGTCAACACTCTGCGCTGTCAGATCGGAGACCGCCTCAACGTGGAGGTAGATGCCGCCCCCACTGTGGACCTGAACCGAGTTCTAAATGAGACCAGGTGTCAGTACGAGGCCCTGGTGGACACCAACCGTAGAGAAGTGGAGGAATGGTTCACCAGACAGGTGGGCATCTCAGCGCCTGACCACTCAGTTCCTCTGAACCGCCAGGATCCCTCAGCCTGGGTCTGATCCCATTTCCTCCCGTTGGCTATTTCAGACTGAGGAGCTGAACAAGCAGGTGGTGTCCAGCTCAGAGCAGCTGCAGTCCTGCCAGGCAGAGATCATTGAGCTGAGACGAACGGTCAATGCCCTGGAGATCGAGCTGCAGGCCCAGCACAACCTGGTGAGTGTGGCTCAGACCTGATAGAGAGCAGAGGGAGGTTGGGGAAGTGGGGTCACAAGTAGGGGGGGTTACGGGGATGCCCTCTGGGGCACAGTCTCCTTAGCTCTGAGATCTATGGAACCCCATGGAGAAACCCTGTAAGGAGCAGCTCTCTGACATTCTGTACTTGTTCCCCATCCATCCTCCAGAGAAACTCCCTGGAAAACACGCTGACAGAGAGTGAGGCCCGCTATAGCTCCCAGCTGGCCCAGGTGCAGTGCATGGTGACCAACGTGGAGGCCCAGCTGGCGGAGATCCGCT